AACGGAAAATATATATGTGAAAAAATGTTCACCATCACTGATAATTTGAGAGATGCAAATTAAAACAATGCTAAGATTCCATCTCCCTTAAGAATGGCTGTTATCAAGAAATTAATAATAAATGCTGGCAGGGCTGTGAGAAGGAATCCTTCTCCACTCTTGGTGGGAGTATAGACTTGTACAGCTACTGTGGAAATCATTGTAGAGATTCCTCAAAAAACTAAAACTAGAGGTTCCATTTAACCCAGCTATTTCTCTTCTTGATATCTTCCTCAAAGAATTAAAAGCATCACACCACAGCAATATATAGTCACTTGTGTTTATAGCAGCATAGTATAATAGCTAATCTTGGAAACAGTCTAAATGCCCATCAACTGATGAATTGGTAAAGAAGATGTGGGGTTTCTTACACAGTGGAATACTACTTTGACTTAAAGAAGGATACGCTTGAGACATTTCTAGCTAAATCAGTGCATCTAGAGACCATACTTTTAAGTGAAATAAATCAGATATATATAAATATAGCATTGTTTTTCTGGTATGAGAACCCCAAAATGTAAATAAGGACCAAAACATAAAATAGATATTGGGAAATGGGATGAAAATGTTCAAGTGAGAAGGGGAACAAAGGTGGGAGGAAGGGGAAAGGAAAAAAGGGACAAGAAGAAAAAGAATGGAAGGAAAAAATGGAAACAGCTTTTGTAGATAAAGAGGGGAGGGGAGTTGAAGAGTGCAGAAGGGGATGGGGAAAAATAGAAGCAACAAGATGTATCATGTGCAGTGCAAATTCCCTGTGGTTAATGTTACCTATCTATCTCCATCTATCCATCTATCTCCAGTAAAATAAAAAGTTAATTTGTTTTTTATTGCCATATGATAGTTCATTATACTGATATTCACATTTATTTATCCATTCATCCACTGTGAACACACACTTGTTTTGTTTCCAATTTTTTACCATCTCAGATAAATCAGTTAAAATACTCATGTAAAAAAATATTTGTAGGGATGTATGCTTTCATTTTCCTGGCCTGAGTACTTGGGAATGGATTAGATGGGTCATATGTTAGGTATAGTTTAACTTTTTAGAAACAGTAAAGCTGTTTTCCAAAGTGTTTGATTTTACGTTACCACTAGCAGTGTAAGAGAATTCCATTTATTCCATGTCCTTGCCAGGGTTTGGTATACTCTCGTCTAATTTTATCCACTCTAATAGTGTGTGTAGTAGAATCTCATTGTGGTTTTAATTTGCCTTGTCCTAATGATTAAGACTGTTATAATTCTGTTCATGTGTTTATTTATTATCCATATATCTTCTTTGTGAAATGTATGTTCAAATCATTTGCCCAGAGTCTTAGTTACTTTTCTTCCTGCTAAGGCAAAATACTCACCAACCAAAGCTAAAGGAGGAAAGGCTTATTTGGCTTATAGTTTATAGAAGTTTCAGTCCATAGTCAGCTGGCTCCAAGGCAGGGTGGCATGGAAGAGAGGCATCACAGAGAGAAATAGTCTTCAGCAAGCAGGCAGGTGAGAGCACATTAACCCTCTTTTGTCCCTTATATTTTATGTGGGCTAACCATCCTAAGGTATATGTGGCACTCACACCCTTAATCCTAGCCAGAATTATGCCAGACCAATCAGTGGACTGATTTAGTAATCACACACCCTTGATCCCAGCATTACACTCTAGACCCGGCCACCTCTGAAAGGTGCCTCCCTGTGACTACATGAGGCTTTGCGGGGGACATTTAGACTCAAGCTGTAACACTCAACTCTAACTGAAATTGTAATTTTTTTTCTTCTTGAGTTTGCAAAGTTCTTTCTATATGTTAGATATAGATCACAAATCGGGTATATCATTTGCCAGTATTGTCTCAATCTGTGTCTTATTTATTCATTCTTCTGCTTTTTCAGAGTCAAAACTTTTTAGCCCTGATGAAATCCAACACCAATTTTCTTTCATTGTTCATTGTTCATACTTTTACTGTTATGCCAGAAGTCATTTTTTAACCCAGCCACAAAAATTCTTTCATACGCTTCCTTCAAAATTTTGTAGCTCTAGGCTTTATATTTAAATTTGATATATCCCAAATTACTTTTTGTATGTTGCATTGGAATAGCAGCCACATCAATTAAAACACAAAATGTTAAAAATACAAATAGGACTTGAATAGTTTATTGAAAAAATTCTATTTAGAACATAAGCTCATACTCGAGTCTTAGAAAAAAATAAAGATGCAAACATAGTAGATCTTTGATTGTTAAAGGGAAATTAGACTTTTTAAATTAAAAAATTCTGTTCCAGGCAAGACTCAAGTAAAGTGTATATATTTCCATAATGTAATAAGTACTTCTGGAATCATTATCCAACCTGGGGACAAAGATAATTGAGTTATTTTATTTAAATGAGTTATTTATTTAAATGAGTTCTTTCCTAATTCATCCTCTGGCTCTCTGTTCTTTTCTACCTGATTTCACAACTTACTGTAGAACTATAGTCATCCACACAGTGCCACCAACATTATGCCACAGCCTAAGAAATAGGCTTAAAATCCAATGGACCAGAATATAGAGTCCTCATATTTATAAACCCTCATATTTACAGTCAGTTGATTGTTTAAAAGGTGCCAAAGCATTTTAGTGGAGAAAGGATAGGAATTTCAGCAAATGATGCTAGAGCAACTGAATGGCCACATGAAAATCAAAGATGGAGTACTACTCAGCCATAAAGAAGAAACTAGAGACATTTATAGCTAAATGGATGCACCTTGAGGTGATACTCAAGTGAAATAAATACGACAAACAAACATGTATAAATACCAAATAGTTTCTCTAGTGTGAGGAACTGAGAGTGTAAATAAGGACTGAAGGGTATAATAGACAATATGAAATAGGAAGAAAAGGGGCAAAGGGGAAGGGGAAGTGGGAGGGGGAGGGGAAAGAAAGAAGGGAGTGGAATTAATATGAGAAAAAGAAAACATGGAAACAAAGTCTTTGGAGATATGGAGGGGTGGAGGGGTAGAAGGGAGGGAAGGGGAATAGGGAAAAAATAGCCAAGATGGATTATGTGAAGGTGCAGTTTTCCAATGATGAATGTCATTATATTGTATACGTTAAATGTACTGATAAAGTTAATTTTTAAAAATAAATAAATACAATTTTATTATAGCCATAAAAAACAAAGACAAAAACAAACAAAATGAAGCTTACTTTCCACCATACCACAAAACAAGTAAAACTACATTATAGAGCTGCATCTAAGTGCAAAAACTATAACACTTCCAGAAAAAAAAAAATTAGGAGAAAATCTTTGTGACCTCTGATTAGCAAAGATTTCTTAAATATGACACCAAAACGACAGTTCATGAAAGAAAAATATGAATAAATTGGGTTTAATCAAGATTTTAAAAACCTTGCCCTTTTTTCACAAAGCAAATTACAAGTCAAATTATAGATTTAGAAAATATTTGAAAATCACCTGCATGATGAATGACTTGAATCAAGAATATATAAAGAACTCTCACAATTCAAGAATAAGACATCAGTCTGCCTTAAAATGGGAGAAATATATAAATAAACATCTCACCAAAGAGGACACATGGATGGCAAATAAGTTGGAGGATAAAAAAGCTTAGCATCATTACTCATTTGAGAAAAACACAATGAGGGCCAGGGATTTAGCTCAGTGGCTCCACACCTGCCTGGCACGTTCAAGGTCCTGAGTTCAATTCCCAGTACTGGGCGGGGGAGGATGAACAATTAGATAGAACTTCATGCAAACTAGAATAGGTGAAATAACAAAATCAGAAAGAATTTTTAAGGATGTGAAGAAACAAGAACTCTCCTATATTCCTTTTGTTTTTAGTTTATTGGTACATTTTAGGTATACAGTACAGCTACATTCATTATTGGGATCTTGTACCTTTACATGACAGGTCTTGGTTCTCATTTTTTCCCCTTATACCTACCCTCCTTTCACCCCCCCTTCTGTATTTATAAATACTTTATTTCCATTTTCTCATTTTTTTCCTTTTCCCTTATTACCTTTCCCCTACCCTTCCCATTTCCCCTACACCTTTAGCCCTTTTCTTCCTATTTCACATTGTCAATTATACCATTAGAGCCTTATTTACAATTATAGTTTTTCACACCAGAGAAACTATTCGGTATTGACACATGTGTGACTTATTTATTTCACTTAAGAGTATATCCTCCATATGCATCCATTTTCCTATAAATGACTCTAATTTCTCACTCTTTATGGCTGAGTAGTATTCCATTTTATAGAAAAACCACATCTTCTTTATCCAGTGTCCAACTGATGGTCAAATGGGCTGTTTCCAAGTTTTAGCTATTACAAACTGTGCTGCTGTAAACATGAGTGCGCATATATCACTGTGGTATGATTCTTTTAATTCTTTTGGAAAGATACCCAGCAGAGGGTTGGCTGGGTCAAATGGAACCTCTAATCCTAGTTCTTTGAGGTATCTCCATATTGATTTCCATAGTGGTTCAAGTGAAACCTTTCTAATTAGGTTTCTTGTGGCTTATTGGTATACAGCAATGTGACTTTACCAAGTATTAGTTATATGTCCAGAGAACTTTTGCTTTTTGATTTAGAGAGATGCTTCTTAATTGATGAAAAGAATTCATATGGTACATGTTTGAGTGTGCTTGGGGCTGAGGTGTGTGCGTATACACTCACATATTGTGGGCGTTTTACAGGGTGGTGGTATTGAGGGATGGTTTTAAGGTCCTTAGGTTCTGTCTGTAGTCAAGTTTCTGTGTACAGGGTTGGCCCTGTAGAGAGTGGTGGCTAGAGCCGGGAAGTTGCCAGCCGTTAGTCTCCTCAGCTGTTTCTGGCAGTTCTGGTGACCATCAGAGGGGTCTCTCTCCAAGTTCGTATCCTCACAGACAGACACCTGCCTGTTATTTGTCCTGGGGCTGCTTACTCATGCTGCCAGCTGCGTTGGTAACGATGTACCACTCCTGTTTTTCAGTATCCGGAGCGTGATGCAGAAATACCTTGAGGAGAGAAATGAAATAACCTTTGACAAGATTTTCAATCAGAAAATCGGTGAGTCCTACTTGGTCATCTGGTATACTGTAATTACCATAGTGAAATCGCTGATGCCCGAATAGCTTATAAATGTAGCTCCTAATATCCTGCTTGATACCCATTTTAGTTACAGGTGGGAATGAAGGCCATTTTGCATGATTAGTAGGATGATTTATGGTTACTTATATGCCTACAGTACACTAATATGGTGTAATAAACTATTGGGAAGCAGACCAGATTGAGTCTGAATTTTAAGGTCGGAGGGTGGGGAACGGTTCCCTGAATTGAAGTGTGACTGAACAAACTGAGTTCACCTTTTGGTGAGTGCAATGCCAATTAAGCACAGCCAGCAGGTAAAAGTGAAGAAAAGTTTATTGCTTGTAGCAAGTAAAGAGATCACTGAGAATAATGCCCAGGGCTTTGTTAAGAGGAAATTTACACAGATCCACGTTGGAACGACCCATTGCTGTACAGGAGGAGGCACATTCCTGAGGAGGCTCCCTTGTTCACCATACTTCTTCATACTTTACATTTTCAAAGCTGAGGGACAGAAATATGCTCCTAGGGTTTAGCATTATAGTGAGACTGTTCTCTTTTTGCTGTCCTGGGAATTGAACCCAGGACCTTTGCACTGAGCTATATCCTAGCCCTTTTAAAATTTTTATATTTGAGACAGGGTCTTGCTAAGTTACTCAGTTGCTCAGGCTGTGCTTGAACATGGATCTCTCTGCTTCAGCCCGTCAGAGTGTTGATATCATGGGTGTGTGCCACCATGCCTGGCGTAGTAAGAGTATAATGAGCAAAGTTTACTCACTTAGAAGAGTCACAGGCAATTTTGCAGTTTAAACCTGTTCCTCATGGTTTCCTCTGGAAGGCCTTATCTGAAACCAAAAAAATCAACACTTGAAGGGCTGTCAGGAATTCTGTAGAAGGGCTGCTTCTGCTTCTCCACAAGCACAGGTGCGTAATGGTAGGACTCCTGCCCAGCAGCTACCAAGGATGTGGTACTGGCAACCAGACAAGCTGCTCTTTCGGGCTCCTTACCAGCCACCCTCCTTCAGGACCCGTGTCTTCTCCCAAGGCCCCAGCTTCTCTCCTGCTACTGTGCTCTGGTGGTCACAGGGTTGGCATTGGGTCTCTGTGAGCATCATATTTCTTCAAAGGTTGGCTTCTCCTTCCAAACAGGGGATGGATCCCTTAATGTCATCGGTTTTTGTGGCATGTGGTCTTGTCTGCTATTCCTGATGATTAGGACCACATGCTTGGCTCCTGTTCCTGTGACTCTCTTCGGTCTTGGCTGTGCAGGTCAAAGGGACTCCCCAGTGTGCACACATAGGTGAGGGACAATCTCTCAATGGTCAGTGTGGGTCTTGACCCCTGCAAATGTGTCTTTGTGTAGGGGGCTTTGTAATTGCCTTGCAGTTAGTGCTCAGAGAAATTAGGATTGCCTAGGAATTACTTCAGAGTGGAGTTTTAAAGCCTATGAAGAAAGGAGATGTTGTTACATTTTCATCTGACTTCTAAAACCTGTCAGTTTGTTTACAGGTGACTCTCAGAGGGGTTAGGTAGGACCTATAGTTTACATGCCTTCTTTTTTCTCTTTCACTCCCCAAAGATAGTTCCTACTGTCCAGAAATTTCCTAAACTACTTTATTTGTTAATCTATTTGGAGTAGTAAGATAAACTGATAATTCAGTGTTGGGAAATCAGATGTTCCTTCCTTTGCATTTTGCTTACCTCCAACAGTCACTTAGGTGGTTTATTGGGGAGCTGAGGGTCCCTCTTAATTTTTGCATTATATTATTTCTGGAGGAAATTATTTAAATACTAAGAAATTAAAGTTCCCTGGAACTCTACTTTTGTATGTACATATTCATGGATTCCATATCCTTGGATTCTATCAACCATGGATTTTTTAAAAGGTGGGTGTGCATGTGCATGTGTGTGTATATTAAAGAAATGGATCTATACTGAACGTGTACAGATGTTCTTGTCATCAACTATTCTCATGGCATTTACATATTATTAGGTACTGCAAGAGATGTGGAGATCATTTAGAGTGTTTGGGAGGATGTGTATAGGTTCTGTGCAAGTACTCCACCATTTTATATAAGGGATGTGAACATCTGTGGGTTTTGGGTCCCATAGGGTCCTGAAACCACTTCTCCTGGGATAGTGGGTGGCAGCTGTCCTTCTCTTTCCTTGACTAACAGGTAGATCTTTTTGAGACAATATTCTCTGAGATCTTTCTGGGCTGCCCTTTCATTTACAGATAAGGAAAATAGGCCCTGGGATGGGACATGACTTGTTCTGATTACTGGAATTTTAAAGAAGGGATTCTGATAGGTTTTTTTAAAAATTCATATCCACCAGAAACCAGTGTGGAAAGTCTCTGGGTTTCTGTAAATCACTTTTTAAAATAGGTCTAGTTTGCAGGAAGTAGTCCACAAAAGTGGTCTTCCATAGATGTAGTTGCTGTTTCTTCTCCCTTTCCTCTCCTTCCTCCTTCCCCTTTTTGTTTTTGATGGTATTGGAGGTTGAAAGCAGGGCCCTTACACAGAACTATGTCCTTGGACCTTTTAAATTTTTATTTTGAGATAGTTTTGCTTTGGTTTTAGAAAGAATTCTGCTTAATTGATGAGTAGAATTTGTATGATACATGTTTGAGCACACGTGGGGCTGGTGTGTGTATGTGTGTGTGGTTTGTGTGCGCGTGTGTGTCTGAATTACCCAGGCTGGGCTTGAAGTTGGCAGTCTTCCTGCCTCAGCTGCCCAGAGTGCTGGGCTTGCAGGTATGTGCCCCCAGATCCAGCTGAGATGAAGCTTCTATGATAAACATGAAATACAGTGATAAAAAGGAGGCTACGCGAGGCCCAGATGTGGGTGAGGTATGGTCTCTCTGTGTTCTGGGAAGCTAGTGGCCTTGCCCCTCGCAGCACCTCCTGCACACCCCCAGAATGCTGTTGGGAACAAGTAGATAGCAAGCTTTCCTCTCAAGTAGTCGTTGCTGCTGCTTGTCATTTACATGGTCTTTACCTCACTCCCATTTCTCCTGAGTCTGTACTAAAAACTACAGAATATGAGAGAGAGGAAAGCTCTTTGATAGGGAAGGGGAGATGTATCTATTTGTTAGTTGACATTTTCATATTTATTTTTAAAGCTTTATTGAAATATATTTCACATCAGGTAAAATCTGCCCACTCAGTGAATATACCCAGTTCTGTAGTTTCCAGTATAGTCACGCAATTGGGCAGCTCTCCCCACAGTCTGATTTTAAAACGCTTTCATAATTTTCAACAGAAGCTCTGTGCCCATTACCTGTTCCCACTCGTCCTGCCCCCTGACTCTGGCAACTACTCATCTGCTTTTCCCCCTCACAGGTTTGCCTGTGTTGGACACACACAGAGATGGCTTCATGCACCAAGAAGCTCCCACACTTGGCATCTGTCAGCGTGGTGCTCTGCGTCTGTCTGTGTGGTAGCATTGGGTGAATCTGTGTTTCTTCTACAGTAGAGTAATACTCCACTGTGAACGTACTGGGTTTGCTTATCCATTGTCAATTGATGGGGATTTGGGTTGTTTCTGCTTCTGGGTTGTTTTGGATAAATTCCACTAGGAAAGGAAAGAGCTTTTGCCATGACTGAGCAAAGATTCTTTGTGAAGACATAGCTGGCAGACAGTGGTAAACCTGCTTTCCTTGCACTTGTTCTAGCTTTTGCAGTGCACGAAGGATTCTCTCTTCCTCTGTGTTTCTAATCCCCTGTCCCTTCTGTAACCCTTTTCCTGTCTGCCATACCCCGAACACATATCCAGACCCCAACACATATCCACACTCCCAACACATATCCAGACCCCCAAATGTCTCTTTTATTGTTTGCGTTAAAATTGGACCAGACTCTGTCCCCAGAGCTTTTGATCTGACTACGTAATGATGTTAATGTGGACTCTCTCTTTGTTCAGTTGCAGATTTGTCCTCAAGAGCAGCCTCACTGACACTGAGAGGCTGTGCATTTTATCTCAATTAAGCTGTTAAATAATTTAAAATGGTTTGAATACATAATTTTTCTCCCCTTTCCTCCAGTTTGTGAACTCATAGCTGGCTAGGAGAGGCTGAGTTGATACTCGAAGGTCACAGTCACAAGGAAGGGTGGTGATGACTGGGGACAAACAGGCTGGACACAGCTGTGCTGTCTGAGGGTGCTGTTTACCACGTCTCCTGCCTGTCTGCCCATCCCCTCCTTCTGTTCTCCCCTTTGGGCCTAGGATTAGGGATGTGGGAAAAATGGAAGGCACGTTGTGGTAGGGGCACTTGTCTGACCTTGGAATTCTTTCTGTTCTCCTTATCCTGCACCCTCCTTCTCTCTGTCCTTCTTGGTTCTTCTGTGTTATTTTTTTCAGGACTGAATTTGCATTTTTCCATTCAGCTTTGCCCCTTCCCTCTCTCTATTTCTCTGTGCTTCTCTTTTTGCCCTCCTTCCTTTCCTGTCAGCTCCTTTTGTCTCCTGTAACCCGTCAAGATCTCCCATGCACAGGATCATGGAGGCATCTGGGGACTGCACTCCATGCATGGTGTGGCTGATTTGTGTAAAGGTGTATGACAGAGGCATGGTGCATGCCTACCATCCTGGTGCTCTGAGAGGTGGAGGTCAGACAAAGGAATTCAGTGAGACCTGGTCTCAAAATGAATGAATGAATAAAGTAAAATAAAATATTTTTAAAAGGGAGGATGGAATAAAGTCTTTCAGTTACATGGCCTCTCAGTCTTTGCTGAGATAACCAGTGATTTGCAGACCTGTTGGCCTCTCCCTCGGGAAGTTGTTGATTCATTAGTTTCCTTTTCTATAAAAGTGATGGATCCATCTATAATGATGGATCTGCTCTGTGGACTGTGGTCAAGACTCAGCAGGCAATGTATGGGAAGTCCTAGTTACTCAGTGGCTCTTGGCAGATGCTCAGTGAATACACTGTCCAGTAAGATTGCTTATTTAAAACGTTTTTCATCATGCGCAAAAGTAGAT